CCATGTCGGTTATTTTAATAACCATCATAGATAAATTAATCAACAACGTTTAGCATAGCTAAATATTGTTGTTTTTTATATAATCCATGATAGTTATTAAGCATAACCGTCACAGAATTAGTTGACTTGCTACAACGGTTACTAAAGAACCATCGTAGAAAGGTTTATTGCACGGTGCTTACTAACCGTCATATAATGTCTTTGAAACCACGTCACCCATATCTACAACCCTCTTTTAACAGTCATTGAAAGCCATGTATAATTGATGTTAATGGGCTTTTTTCCAGTAGTGCGGGTGAGTAGTTTCGAGTTTTGTGGATAATTGCTAGTAATGGATAAATTTTGTCTTGGCTGATTTTCTAGTCTACGCAGTACGTTCTACACCCTGTACCATATTTTACCTTATTGGTTTAGGATTTGATTAATTCTTAGGATGACAACATTAACAACTTGTATAGTCATGGGAATCATGTATGCTCCAGTTCCACATTCCAAGACAGAATATTAGAAAAAATCTCCTTGCAAATCATACAAGTTTTTGCTCATTTTTTACAGTTTATGAGCTTCAATGTATATTCTTTCTTCTTCATCTCTTTGATTGCTTGTAATAAGTGGTTAAGAGTTTCTAGTTTTCTTAGATGGTTTGATTTGAGTTCTTGGGTTTAGGTGCCATCAACAATTGTAGCGATGATGGTGTTGTTTGAGTGTTTATTTGGTTTAATTTGCATTCCACAAGTATTTTATTCGCTCTTATGCCGTGATTTGCAATTTTTTTAGTTTATGATACTTCTAATTATTTTTAGTTAATTAAATAAACTGCTTATCCTCATATCATAGAGGCACCATGAGCTACAACGTTATCACTTAGCATTATTTTATGGGAAAATTAGAATGAAGAACCTAAAAGAAATAATATTGGAAAAAGACACTAAAATACCCTTAAGAATACTAAAGGACAATTGAGGGTAGGTGAATTTTAAAATCCCAATTCAAACCCTAGGTATCATTTTGGAATTTTCAAATCTTGTAAAATTACCATCTTAGCACTTCTAGCCACCAGAGCTCCGGCATTAGCAACCCTGCCAGTGGCCAGCCACTGGAGCTCTGGCAACATGTCACCGAAACTCCGGTGATCGGTCACCGAAACTCCGGTGATCGGTCACCGAAACTCTGGTAACTACTCTTTCTTATGTATTGACTACTCTTTTTTAGCTATTGACTATATTTGTTTTTAAAACTCTAAAGACTACTCTTATTTAGCTATTGACTACTATAGTATTGCAATTGGTTACTTTCATTTTTAAAATTTTGATGACTATTCTTATTTAGTTATTGACTACTCTAATTTCGTTATTAACTACTTTTGTTTCCAAAATTCAAAAAATACATTAAGTGTTATTGGAGATCTAATGACTACTTTTTGTTTAGTTGTTTATTACTCTTATATAGTCAGTAGCTATACAAAAGTAGTCACTAGAACTTTGAAAACCAAAGTACCTAATAGTTAAACTAGAGTAGTCAATAGCTATATGAAAGTAGTCACGGAGAATAAGGACAATATTGTCATTTCACAATATTTTAAAATTCCAAAATAGGTATACAAAAGTAGTCACCGGAACTTAGAAAACAAAAGTAACCAATAGTTAAACTAGAGTAGTCAATAGCTATATGAAAGTAGTCACTGAGAATAAGGACAATGTTGTCATTTCACAATAGTTTAACTCTTGTATAGTCAATATCTGTACAAAAATAGTCATCAGAACTTTGAAAACAAAAATAATCAATAGTTAAACTAGAGTAGTCAGTAGCTATATGAAAATAGTCATCGACAGTAAGGACAATATTGTCATTTCATAATATTTTAAAATTTCAAAATAGTACCTGGGATCTGATTTGGGATTTTGAAATTTACCTACTATCATTTGTCCTTTAGTATTTTTGAGGCTATTTTAGTGTCTTTTTCCCAATAATATTTATTAAAAAAATAAAAATTGTCATTATTTTGAAAGACCAAATACTAAAATATAAATTTAAAAATAGTAAATTACCCCTTATATAAAACTTCTTGCATTTTCTCCACATCCTATTTTTAAAAATAGTAAATTGCCCCTTAATCTTTATGCTTTACGTAACGTAGATATCTATTAAAAAAAAAAATTATAAACATAGTTCAATTTTGTCAAAATTATTAGTGAGTTTTAATATCATCACAAAATTTAATTAAAAGTAGAAATTATAAAATTTTGGTAAAACTTGAGATCTTTCGTAATTTGTTATGTATAAGTGATATGAATAAAAATTTTGGCTTCTAGTTTTCAAGTAGTTACTCTTTCGATCTTTAATATAGGATCTAATTGTTAAGTTGATTTTGGTCTTAAATATAAGACCTAATTATCATATTTATTATTTTTTTTTAAAATTATTCCCATTGGTACTCTTTCATCCATAATCAAGTAGGAAAGGGAAGGAGGATATTAAGAAAAATAATTATGATGTTAAAAAAAATGTCATATTTCTTATAATTGACTAACTTACCTAATTTTCTTAATCTAATCAAATTAGTTAAATATGTCTTATACGACCTCTTCCTAAATATAAGAGCTAGTTGACTAATTTGAGTAGATTAAGAAAAGAAGTTAAGTTAGTCATTTGTAACAAATAAGTTGTCTTTCCTAACATATTCCTGATAATTAAGTGTATTGGTTAGAACTATTATTATTAGAAAGATTACTTTGAGAAAAATATATAAATATGAGAGACAAATTAGATTGGAGAAGTTTAAGACCAAAATAAAAATCAAACAATGTCTTATATTAAGAACCGGAAGTAGTATTAAAGAACATAGGAGTAGTATGGGAAATCCCAAGTATTGCTACTTTCAGCGTGATTTGTTGAGCCTATTGATCTCTTGAAGGAACAACTTGCGTTGGAAAAATTGTCCTCCCCCCTTAGTACGTAGTATGTATTTTTAATTTTATTTAAATTATATTAAGTCTAGTTTTTAATACAAAACCTAGTTGACTAATTTGAAGAGATTAAAAAATTTATTAAATTAATTTAAAATATTTATTTTTTTTTCCAAACTAATTTTCCACATTTATAAATTAGTAAAAGTGGTTATTCGTGAAAAAATGTATGTTAATTTTTCTAAAATGCCAATTTAATCGTTTGTATTGACATTAGTCATTGTTAGAAATTCCATTTTAATATTGATAGCTTGAGAAAAAATTTTAAATTTAAAACCAAAGTATATTAAAATTTTAAATTTAGAAAAAGAAAAGCTCTTATCTACATTCTATATCTAGGATTAGCGGAAGTGCGTACGTGGATAGTGACCTAACCTGACTTTTTTTTTTTTTTTGGTGAAATAACCTGACTTTTGTTGTGAATAAACATGGTTTGTTTTAAGAAACATAAACGAATCCTAAAAGGGGGGAACGGAAAAGTTATTCCCATGATTGAAAACTTTGTTTCTGGGAATAGTCAAATATGATGTAGTTATTCTGTGTCATGCACCGTTGAACTTGAAGGTCGTGGGCTCAAGGGGGCCATTCGCATTCGCTCAAGATTATTATGGATCATCCCTAAATCGTACGGGGAAAATGGGGAATGGGGAGAGGGGGGAGGAAGGATCGCATTATACGGGGATCACATTTTTAAAAGGTCAAGAAAAATAAAAAAGCTCGATCACTTACTCTAACTAATAGGTTGTCGACCAGTCTTGCAAGGAAAGAAAAAAGAATCTTTAAGTCAAAGACCAAGGACTAACGTAACGTAGCGTAAGGCTGATATTGAAACTAGAATTCTCCAAGTCTTCTCATTTCAACATGCAATATTCTCTTCGATGCCAAAGGAGATTTAATTTACCAGAATACTAGAAAGAAATTAAACTAGGAATCTGCCTCAAAGGAAACCACAAAACACCTTTGCTGACTTGATTGCTTGGCAAACTCATTCCAGACATGGATTATCAGATGCAGCTTCCCACCTCTTAAGTGTAATATTTTTCTTGATAAGTAATCTGAATTTTGGGTGCCTCAACCTGATTAGTTTTTCTTTTGGTATGGTGAAATTCCATAACCTTTGCAGTCTCTTCCACTCCAAATGTACAAGTTATATAACTAACTTACCAATATTAAAAAAAAAAATTACTTTTAGCTATTTATGACAGATGTATGCTGTTTTTTTTTTAGGATATTAAATTGAATTATTACGCTCATTAATGAAACCCCATTTAATATATATAATCAATAAAAATAACTTAGGATTTTATGAATTCAGAAGGCAAGCTAAATTATTATCTAATACTTAGATCTAAGAGTAAAACATACATTTCAATTAGCTTCTACATTTAAGATCACATGAGATATTAAAAAAAAGACAATACCTACATCAAATTCTCTCATATCCATTATTTAAAGTTTTCTAAACATGACCATGCGTCCTATTTTTAAAATATTAGTATTTAACATTATTTAATTATAAATTCACATGAAATAAAAAAGAACACATGACATGTGTGATCGGATAACTTAATGTAATGAATATAAGTAAGTTGACCTAAGTTTTTTTTCCCCCTAAATGAAACATAAAAGGTTTGGAAGAAGCTTGTGAGCTTCCCCTCACTCCAAATATTTTCTCGGATTACAAACAAGTGAGTCTAATAGAAAAGGCACAACCTAGTAAGCCAAGATTTAAATTCCTAATAAGAGAAGTGTCCACATTCAATGTCTAACAGTACTTTAAACAATATTGTCTCTACCAAAAAAATATTTGTGCCGCGCAGAAAAACAAAATACTCTCTCAGATTTATAAGATACCATTAACCGTTTTTCTAAGAATAAGGAAATCAGTTAAAATTCTGATAAAAAAAAAAAAGGAAATCAGTTAAAAATATAAAGATGCAAGGGCATCTTTAGAGATTAATTATAAATACTTCATTAAATATTGTAAAAGATGTTATATTAGAGACCAGTAAATAAAATATGGCTTCACACTTAGGACCGGGAAGTAACTTTTCTTGATTTGCGCATGTCATTGCACAAAGACGTGCTAATCTTTTGTGTATTGTTCTGATTTTATGAAATGTCTCAGGAGGAACTCCTTAACAGTTTTTCGCTAACAAAGTAATGTACACTCTCCAACATGCTCATGCTCTTCTACAGGAGGGCCAATGAAAATGCATAAAAGTTTGTGTCAACAAATCTCATCACGTGAAGGCCACGGCAGGAAATGGCCATTGGACAAAGATTCTAAACACAGTAGAACCGAGGCAGAGGCAGCAGTATCCAACAGGGTAGCCAGGTTTATGTAGAGCAGCTTAAAAGAAGAATCAGCTCTCAATAAATTCCTCACCTTGCATGGTGAGAAGTTGAGAACTGAGAAGCAAGCAAATTAAGCAGCTAATATGTATGAGGATGGTGGCACATGAAAATCACGCCTAATAGCACTATGCATTGGAAGCATCAAAATTGGCCTGCCCATTTTGCCGTCTTTTTTCTCTCCAGTTTTCTCCCCACATCTTGGCCTCTGCCACTGCACGTTCTCTATCTAGATCCCGGTTTAACATTCTCGCAGTTTCTCGCGGGGAGTCCTCTTTCTCAGATCCTTCGAGGTCCCATCTGCGCCCGGATCCTCCACCTTCCTCATTTCTGGATATCCTTCCGCTTCTTTCGTCTCTGCTCCTTTTATCATCACCCAAACCCCTGTGACCATGACCAGATGCATTAGGGTCATATGCCTGGTTGGCCAGATATGATAGAGCCGTGACCACATCTCCGATCAGGGGCCTTGTGGCAGCCTGTTCTTGGATGCACATTGATGCCACAGCTAATGCCTGGTACAGACCCCGCATGGGATACCGTCCCTGAAGCCGAGGATCTGCCAACTTTGAAAACTTCCTACGGTCATTGAACAGTGGACGTGCCTGCTCAAATGTACAATGAAAACCATCACATTACCTCTCCATTGTTACGTACACTTTAAGTCAACAATTAAAATGGTAAAAGATTAGAGGATTACCCAGGTAACAAGGTTCTGTTCTCCATGAGGTCGGGTACTGTCAATGGCTTTCCGGCCTGTAATCAACTCCAAGAAGACTACCCCGAAACTATAGACATCAGATTTCACAGTCAGTTGCCCAGTCATGGCATACTCAGGAGCACAGTAACCATAGGTTCCCATGACTCTGGTGGAAACGTGTGACTTATCCCCAACTGGACCAAGCTTTGCAAGACCAAAATCAGAAAGCTTCGGATGAAATCCTTCATCTAGTAATATATTAGATGACTTGAAGTCCCGATATATAACTGGGGGATTTGCCTTGTCATGCAAGTATTCCAATCCTTTCGCCGCACCAGCTGCTATTTTCATCCTAGTGTTCCAATCTAGCGGTTCCTTGTCAGGGGGAAGATCTGCACACAAGTCAATACAGGTGTTACCACAACTGTTGTGATTATGTTTAAGAATGCATTGGTGTAACGGACAGGGCATTTAGTCTCACTATTCCAAAAGTGCAGGAACTCTTCCAGGTCATTAGAAGACAAAATGAATTTTAATTTATATTTATGTTTATCCAATATATATATTTAATTAATTATTTACAATGTGTTTTCAAATTTTTCTCGGTAACAAATATTTTTATTTTATAATTTCACAAATAAACTATTTTCATTTTATCATAATAAGTTTATGTATTTTTTTTAACTATTATCATATTAAAAATATAAAATAACTATTTAATAAAGTCCACGCCATTTTCAGTCATTTTACAACTAAACTCACTTTTCTATTAATCATCCAAATAACTTTTAACTTTTCTATCTGGCTTTTTATAAGCATTTATTCAAACATAAATCGCATTACACTAATTGATTTTTACTATAACTTCAGTTATAAAAGTTAGTTATAATAGAAGTCAGTTTTGCCCACCGCTAATCCAAACACATCCAAAGCCTGCTGTAAGCTCACAACCATGAGTATCTAGCCATTAATTTAATAGTTGAAACCATGGCAGTACATTCAATGATTTTGTTCTGACATGGGAGGTTAATCCACACATCACGTTAGGCTTAATCAAAATGATGTTTAGATTACACTTGATCCATGCCCAACTGTCCCCCCCCCTCTCCCCACACAAAAAAAAAAAAAAAAAACAAAGGAAGAAGCAAATGCAAGCATCCCCATTTACAAAATGAACTTTGCACTATACTTCAGCCCCACTCCCTCTAAGGAGTTTATAGATGGCACTAGTTTTACTCCAGCCTTTCATAGTTATAAGAAGACGGGCAACTGGATGTTGCAGGATCTCAATGAGTATATAGTGAGTAATGCTATTCTGCCTTATTTTAGCCAAGGAATTCAAGTACATGCTTGTTTCACATACAAAGTTCCCGAATTTCTGTTTCAAATTCAATTAGCAATTTCCACACACCAGCATGTTAACGGAGAAATGAGAAGACTAAAACAATTTTAGAAGTCTCTTCACCGAGAAATACCACCAGGTATAACGGTCAGAGAGAGGACAAAAAATGAGACAGACAAAATAGTCTAATCCATCCCCCAAAGAAAAGGCAAAACAAAGAAAGAAAGAAAGAAATCTTGGACCAAATTTCGACTACAATTTATGACTACCTCTGAATCAGTGCTTTTTTTTTTTTGGGCCAAGTTAAATCAGTGCCTTACTAATAACTAATGAGCAAGTATTTGAAGGAAAACAACAGAAGATTATCATAGTGCTTTTCTAGTAACTAGTAAGCAAGTTCTGAAGGAAAACCACAAAATTGTCACAATTTAAATCTCTTATAGTTTTATTGTGAAATATGTGGTCATGACTTGCAAACTACAATATAACAACAACAACAACAAGCCTTATCCCACTAGGTGGGTTCGGCTACATGAATCACATGACGCCATTGTGCTCTGTCAACAACCCAGTCCTTAGATATGTTGTTGACTAAGAGGTCTCGTTCAATGACCTCATTAAGCGTTCTTCTCGGTCTTCCTTTGCAAACTACAGTCTTAGGTAAAATTTTATAGCATTACGGTGACTGACCAAAAATCATTATGAAAAGAAGCACAGAGGAAAATTTTCTTCATAAGCGAAAACTATGGATAACAATATTAGGACAGGAAATGGCCATGACAAAGTTGAAATAGAAAAACACAACAAATTCTTAACAGCTGCTTTCATGATAATGAATTAGAGAGTGAAGTGCAGAAAATTGTAACTAAGATTCAGTAAAATAACTTAGGTTGGTTTTCCCACACTAGAAAACAGTCCGACATGTATTTATTCATCATCAGAAATTTCAGAAGAAAAGGCCCTTGAAAGAGTAAAGCCGCCAACAGCAGAGTTTCCTCATCACTTAAGAGTGGCTATGTGAGAAAAGAACCAACATGCAATGTAGATTATGGAAATTGATCTACAAGGACTCGATCAAGGTTACCGAGCAAGAAAAGTCCACTCATTGACAAGGATATTACTGTACAAGAGAATGCCATGTCCAGATATTTGCTTCTAGATAACTCTGTTATATTCCGTGTTCCAAAACAGGTAAACATCTTTTTGATGATGTTAGATTTTGCGACATCTAAATCAAATGTTTTTGCTCAGAAAGCCGAAACTTCCAATCATTTCTAAAAATGATCCTGCCTATGAGCTGTAACTGCATAAGGCAACATTGATTCTCATTATCCTATGTTTAGTGGAATCGTCTGGGATATCAAAATATATCTTAAGGAGAATAAGTATGCCTGATCTCTCAAAATGACAGCAATTTGTCAACCATAACAGGGAAATTCTAATCATATAATAAAGAGATTGGTGCTAAACAATTATACCATGAAGGTGGTCTTCCAATGATCCCAATGGCATAAATTCATAAACAAGGAGACGTTGGTCCCCATCAGCACAGTAACCAATAAGATTGACAAGGTTAGGATGGTGTAGAAGACTAAGCATGAGAACCTCCACTAGGAATTCGCGATTACCCTGGAGGCCATTTCTATCTAACTGTTTAACAGCAACAACCTGTCAAGATGAAGAAAAGATGTCAGAACTCGCTAGATGCTAGATGCCTAAGGGACACAAAAACAAATCAAACTTGTGATTAAGGTTCGCCTTGTTTGTCTGACACTCCTATTTTTGCACCTCAACACGAAATTTATTTTCTCTTTCTTTTCTGTTTTTTGGGGAGTGGAAATGCAAAATTAGGAGTGTCAAAGGCTAGATATACATTTCCTCCATGAGAAACACAATTCAAAGCTTGCAAAGTACTCCTCCGGTCCTTAATATATAACTTAATTATTGAGTTAATTTTTGTCCTAAATATAAGACCTATTTTTCATATTTATCAGTTTTTCTTAAATTATCCCTATGAATACTCTTTCAACCATAATCAAGTAAAAGAGGAAAGAGGGATATTAAGAAAGATGATTATGGTGTTTTAGGAAAAACATATCATATTTCTTATAATTAACTTACCTACCTAACTTTCTTTATCTAATCAAATTAGTTAAACAGGTCTTATATTAAGAACCGGTGGAGTAGTATATATGGACATAAATTCATGCAATTTGTACAATGATCAATAAAATTATGACATTTTTCAAATCAAGCAACTATATCAAATAATCATACAGCAATACTGTAAGATTGAGAAGAGAGCAGCATTCATGGGATTGTCTGAGTAAGCAAAATGGAGATAACGTCTGACCCGAAGGGATTAATGCAAGCAAACAAATCACTCGTTATCAATGGGATCCGGGATACTTCCAGCAAGAAATATATTGAAGAGTTGTTGCTGGGCTAGCTGAAAAAACGTAACACTATTACCTTGATTTTACAACCTCAAGCAATAATAGAGATATTTACCTGACCCGTGCTTTCTAGACGCCCTTTGTACACTCTTCCAAAGCCACCTTCCCCTATAAAGGATTCTGGCCTAAAATTTTTAGTTGCAGCTGCAAGCTCACGGAAAGTGAAAGTCTGGGCAGCAATTTGGACGCCAGGCCCATCCTTAGGAGCGGGAAGTTCCCTTTTGGATCCTCCATTACTACTCCTTGAGCGAAGCTTGTCCGCTCCTGCAAAAGCCACCAAAACAAAGAAATGCAGATTCATAAGTATCTTCAACTCCAGAATTTCTCCAAATAGAGGCTGTGAGATCTTGAATTCAATAGTATATCGAAGAGTAAGAACTCAACCAGTCCATTCCATTAAGCTACAATCCTATCCACTTAGGACCAACCATTATTAACCTTCACTCATTAAGCCTTTTAAATGTATACTTAATTTAGCCATGCCATAAATAGACTGAAATTGAATTATGTTAGAGCTACCGAGTAAGTTATTTGTTTAATAAAAAAAGTGAAATCCCCAATCCCAAATTACCAACTATGCATATTCGAATCAGCCACCCGAAATCAGAGAGATATTGAGATCTAAAATTTCTAAAGAAGGAAAGAAAAAACTTTTACAACAGCATCAGAATCGGGTAGAATCTCTGAGAAAGTATTCATGGAACAAGTGATCAATTCATCCTAAAAGAAATATAGATCAATAAATATGAAGAAAGAGAAGGGGAAAACGCGGTGGCCAACATGTCTTCGTAAGGATACATAAATCACACATAATCAGATCAGATCAAGCAATTAGATAGTGGAACAAATAGAAGAAAAGTGATTGCAGGATATCAATTTATAACACAATCGAATAAAAATCGACCGACTAACCAGAGGGCAATCTGGAAATGTGAGAGGAAGCAGCTGGATGGCCTTGCTTAAGATCATCAATTTCTTGCCGAGGATTGAGCTGCTCATCCTCCTTCGAATCGAAACACGAGAAACAGCCCATTCTCCAGAACCACAAAGGGAAGCTTCGCAAATCTATGTAATCCGGAAAAAAACTGTGGGTATTTGTATATACAGCAAATTATATCCAATCAAGGGCTCAAACTTCAATCCAAGTATGAAGAAAATCGCAGTTTCAGAGTTCTCATCCACAATTCCGAAATATAAGGGTAGTGCCCCCAATCCGATCAGGTTGATAACAAGCAGAATCTGCTCATGGAGCAGAAGCCGCAGATATCTAAAGACAAAACCCAAGGACTTCAAGTCCACGAAACGCCAGTAGTAACGATATATAAGAGAGAAGAAAGATGGAAAATGAAAGATATACAACAAATATAAGAAGGCTTTGGCGGGGGAGATGTCGATTATTAACTTAACGGTGAGAAAAGATCATATTTTGAAGAAAAGGTCCTGGGAATCAGCTTTTCTGTTCTCCGGTCTCGCATGTCCTTATTACAACAATTTATATTGAGACCGCGGACACGCACGCACTTCCTACCTCTAATCTCTTTTCGGTGTTCTGATTTTGACCCAATTACACTTGTGAAACAAGAAGGGGGAGAAAAAAATTTTCTCTTCCGTGTACAAGAAACATATGACAATATATTGCACCAGGGAATAAAAACGAGATAAAAGTTGATGAGGGGAAAAAGAAAAGAAAGTGATAAAATGACCAAAAGACAGAGAAAGGTCACCGCTTTGGTTGCATTCACTGCGTTGACTTGAGCGTTAATGAGTGGTGGAGGGGAAGAAGTGAACATGGGGATAGGGCTGAGCAATGGGCGTGGTGGGCTAACCCGAAGGTTAGCCCATAACCCGCCCATTTATTCATAAATGGACATGGGCTAACCCATAACCCGATAGTAGCCCATTTAGCCCATATTAAATGGGTTACGGGCAGCCCGTTTGGACTGACCGGGTTATGGGGTAACCCATTTATTTTTTTAAATTTTTTTTCAGTATAATTATTTTATATATGTAACCTTATGAAGCTGTTAATAAATTTTGCATGCCAAATAGCAAATCAAATATGAAATAACATCAACCATATTCAATCACACAACCTCACTTAGATTCGCAAACAATTAAAGTCTGATAAAATCATAAAAATAGTCACCGATCATAAAGTCTCATAAACTTTGAAAGTTCCAACTTTTACCTAAAGGATAAAATAAAAACTTAGACAAGTATGAAGGTTTGATAAAATATGAATGAGAAATAATATCATCAATTAAATGAAGAATAAAAATATTTTTAAAAACTTAAAACTTAAATGGGCGGGTATGGGCAGCCCAATACCTTGCCTATAGCCCAACCCGTTTAATGGGCTACCCCGCCCATTTAAGCCCGCCTGTTTAGGCGGGCTTAAATGGACAAAAATTTCATGGGTCATGAGCGGGCTAGCGGGTAATGGGTTTGTTGCTCACCCCTACATGGGGATAAGAATTGGGAAAGACCCGGTAATTACTGAAAGAATGGCGGGTAGAAATTGAAATTTGACCAAGTTTTGGGAGGTGCGTGATTGTGAAAAGGGCATAGTGACGGAGTGACCTGGGACGCGTTCAGGTGCATGATTGGCGCACCGTCCCTGCAGCGGTTCAGTGGCACCTCAGCATCTTCATGCCCCCACCTTTTCTTCCCCCCGCGTTTATTTATATATTTCTTCAATTCTTAATATATATTTCTTTAATTCTTAATATAAAATCTAATTATTGAGTTGTTTTTTATTTTAAATATAAGATTAATTTTTTATATTTATCAGTTTTTTCTAAATTATCCTTATAGATACTCCCTCAACTATAATTAGGTAGAAGAGAGGGGGGTATGAAGAAAGATTATTATAGTGTTTTAGGAAAAAAGTCTCATATTTCTTATAATTAACTAACTTACCTAATTTCTTTAATCTAATCAAATTAGTTAAATAGGTCTTATATTAAGAACTGGAAGAGTATAATTTTTTTAAAAAAATATTTTTAGTTATTAATATAAAAACTCATTTAACTTTTATTTTTATCTTAAATATAAGACTGTAATTTATTTTATCTCTTATATTTATTTATTTTTGAAGATAATTCTTGTAATAATGATAACTCTAGCGAATACATTTGATCAGCAAGGATATTTTTAAAAAAATAAAATTTATTTATTATAAATAACTAATATAAGTAATTTTTTTAATCTACTCAGATTAATCAACTAGCTCTTATATTAAGGGCCGGAGGCAATATTAATAAATAGTGTAATTTAATATAAATTTTAGGGTTAAGTTTTTATTCAATGTATCCCAAACATTATAAATTTTTATTGAGCACAAAACTACTAATGAATGCTCAAAAGAGGGAAAAAATTGACATTACTATTAACCCTTATTGCTTCATTGTTAAAGAGACAAAGTTTGACTGAAGATTATGATGAGATGCTAATGTGGATTACTAATATCCTAGCGAGCAGACTTCATTGCTAACCCAACAAAAAAAAAAAAGAAACAAAAGAAAAGAAAAGGACCAGAAAAAAATCACGATGGAAGGAAGAAGAATTTGGGGTTAAAGAAATTGAGGGCACGATCACAAGAGGGGTGTCGCCACCAGTATTGTGAATTATCACAATAAAGTTGTTCGCCCGCCAAAGAGACAAGGAGGGTGTTTGACAACCTCCAAACTATGGTTTCAGAAGCACTTTTCTGCAAAATGAGACAAATTCCTTCACATATTTACTTCGTAAACCGTAAAAGCACTTCTGAAACCATGGTTTGGTTTCTATCCAAACACCCCCAAAGAATCATGGCAGCAATCGGTGGCATAGCATGATTGAAAAACCCAAGAATAAGTATTCTCCAAAACTAATGGATTATGTTAGAATAGCTTATCACTCAACAGGAGGATAAATTGGGTAATAATTAAAATTAAAATTTTTTTCACAATATAGTGAAAGCCATAAGAAACTTTGAGCATAAAAAACAATGAATAACAAAAGCTCAAACAAAAATGTAAAAATGATGAGTTAGAAATATAAGGAGATAAGAGGAGAGAATATGCAAATTGTAATTTATCTTGGCTCGACCTCTGCAAACCTACATTTAATCTCCAAAACACCTTTGAGATTTTCAGTCTATTACATCTCTCAAGTTTTATACGAGTACGTGAGAACTATTATTGCTCCCTCAAATTTCATGGGTACACTACACAAAGAAAACTTTAAACTTTGTCAATCCACATCAGTTATAAGAGAAAACATGTAAAAAAAAAAAGACAGTGTTATTTTTGTAAATATATTATAGTATAATACCACTTTTTATGATGGTTATAAGAATAACCGCTATAAAAAAGTCCTCACCTCCAATAAAATAATTCAGTAAATGCTTGGACTTACCAAGGTGTTTATGAAAACAATGTAGTACTTTAACTACAATTATTGTGGGAAACAATATGGTAAAGCTTTTTAATGGCAGTTACTTGGATAATGCCATAAAAACTCATTTTAAATTTGAAACCTCTATTGCCCGATACGCTCATTTGTTCACAGTTTCGTTGTGGTGCCCTTTTCTTTGCCCTACTGCTCAGAACTTCCTCCTCAGCTATTTCTAGCAAAATCCAATCATTGTCCATCTTATTCCACCATTGCTTTGCCGTCTTCTGCCATTCGTGGTTGTTCTTGCCGTTGAAGTGTGTGATTTTTCAATTTTTCTCCATCTTTACATTGTGAGTTTCCTATTCTTTCTTCCTTGTGATTTTATTCGATTCTTTTAGTTATTTGATTAAAGAAAATTATTATAGATCAAATGGGTTGATTTATTTCAATTTTGGGACAATTGGATTGCCCCATGAAAATATTATCTATTGGTTCTGCTCCTTGTTTGGAGTGCTAAAAGACAAAACTAAAGATGTTATTGAGACGTAAGTTTAAGCTTGCAAATTTATTAGGTATAATGTTAAAAATTGCATGTTATATTATCTTGTGTTAAGGTCCAATTTTGACTTAGAGTTTTTTGTTGAGGAGCTGTGGTATCTAAAAATTCTTTTTGGAGTAATGTGGCCCAAGAAGTTTACAAAATATAACAATGTTGGCCTACCATTAAAAGGTGATAAGTTTGACTATTTTGTTTGACAAAAACTCATGCTTAGCACTCCCAAGTTACTACTACAGATTTTAAAATATGTCATTGGATAGGTGATAGTCAAAAAGAAACATAGCTACCTATCACAAGGCAAAGATTACTCTAAACAATATGTGATGGTCACATTTCTAACCATCACGTACTTGTAAAAAAATATTATGGCTATTTATATTAACCATCACCTACTTTTGCTACATTTTAACTAGTGAAAACGTAAACACATACGTGATGTCTCTCCATAGCAAACCGTTCTATATATCGTTTTAAACGATTCATGCTCCTGTCTATTGAAGTTCTGCAGTAATTTGATTTAAATTTAATTTTGGGAGTCATTACGTTGATCCACAACTCTATGTAAGCCACAAGCGCCCAACCCTAAGTATTATTTCTACAATATATTTCATTGTATTTTCATATTTTTTCCGTTTAACCATGTCATCCAAATGCTCAAGATCAGATGAGATTTCAAGCACTAATACCGACCATGTCCTCAATCAGATGGAGGCATTGATCGATCATACCAGAAAACTGAGCAAGGTTATTGATCTAACCCATTTGTTATGTATTTTTTTATATGTTTAATTAAGGGCTTTATCATGGGTTAGTGGCTCTTTTAGTGATAATTGTACTCAATTTAGATTAAGAGTCTTTGCTTTGAGTTAGTGTCTTTTTGAAGATAAAATTGTCATAATTGGTTATTAATTAATTCAATTGATTTCTAGGACAATTAATACTTCAAATTATTTCTTTTTATTATAGAACACTTGAGAATTGGAGCCAAGATTGAAGACCAAGGGATTACATAACATGCGAAGCAAGAGTACTAAGTTTGAAATTTTGCCGCAGCTTGGGTTCGCCACAGCCAACAATCTTGTTTAGAGACTCTTTAGAATTTTGGTCGTGACTTGGTCGTGGGTTCACCACAGTGAAGTCATTGTATCAACAAACCAGATTTGGATCCGAATCATGAAAATAGGGCACCTACTCACTTGATCTAACCCATTTTGACCCCTTAAACCTTTATAAACTATATTTTCAAAATATGACTCCATTCTCTCATCTCATACACCTCTCTTCACCCATTTCTTGCCTCTCCATGTCCACCTTCTTCCCCCATCCATTTTCTCTACTTTTTTTTTTCATTGCATACACTTAGTTATAGTTCAAATTAATCTTCAAAACAAAACCCTTTTCATTACATTACATGGCATTTAGTCTAACTTAGGTCATTAATGAAGGCTTCACTGAACATGACTCGGATTGCATGCTATATGCATTTCTTAGATCCATTTATAAATTTCTTGCATTTGATCCTAAGACGTAATGACATGGTCAAATCAGTCATCAT